AACCTTTGACTGTTTTTGGAAATGGTTCAAAAGGGAGCACACACACACACACACACACACACACACACACACACACACACACACACGAAAGAGAGAGAGAGAGGGCGGGAGAGGGAAGGAAAGAGAAGGGGAGGAGAGAGAGAGAGTTGAGACAGAGAGAAGGGGAGAAAAAGAAAGAGAGAAAAATGAGCAGATTATGGAGGGCAAGAATGAGCCAGTTGAAAAAGAGAGAGAAACAAATGAGAGAGAAAGGAGAGAGGGAGAGAGAAATGGGAGAGAGCTGGAGGAAAAATGAGAGAGAGGGAAAAGAGAGGGAAACAGAGAGAAAAAGAGTGAGGGGAAGCAGGGGGAAGAGAAAAACAAATGAAAGAGAGAGAAAGGGAGTGAGAAATGAGGGAGAGAATGGAAGATGAAAGAGAGAAACAAATGAGAGAGAAGGGGAGAGGGATAGAGAAATGATAAAGGGAAAAGATGAAACAAAATGAGTGAAAAGGGGAGAGAGAGAGAAAGAAAGAGAGAAACGGAGAGAGGAAGTGAGAGGGAGAGAAAAGCAGAAGAGAGAGATGGGGGTGGAACCATTTCCCAGAGAAAACACTGGGAGCCACAAAACCTGGATAGGCATGGCTGGGTCAGGTCACGTGACTGGGTGGGAATGATGTTGAGTTGCTCATGCCCACCCAGGTTTTGTGGCTCCCAGTGTTTTCTTTTCTGTAGAAAACGGGTCCAAATGGCTCTTTTGAGTGTTTAAGGTTGCAGACCCTTGCCCTATATGCCATAGGGACAGGTTTTGAGGGATTACCTATTTCCCATGGTTTATGCCTGGTTGGTATATGCTGACAAGATTTGGCTCATTCTATATTCCTTCATACAGTGCCATCTATAAACACTAAGAACGCATGCCTTTTCTGTCATGGCATCTGTCATCTGCAATGAGATCTGCCCTGAAATCTTCAATTGGCTGTAAGGCCTTGAGCACTTGAGTAAGCCTTGAGTAAAGATGGATGAAACCTCTTGTTGGATGGAATTTTGTCTCTGCTTTTGTATAGGATCATCAGATTTCATTTTTTTTTGTTCTATAGTTTGATATTTTTGTATTTATCATATTGTGAGTTACCTAGAGTCTGTTTAGAATTAGGTAGTGCCTACAATGAAATAAATAAGATTTCAAATGTTGGAAACTCACCATGGTAAAATAGTGCTATCTGAAGTTTTGTGTTCAGAATATCTTAGGTTTTGCACAGTGGTGGGCTTCAAAAATTGTTCGAACCTACTCTGTGGGTGTGGCCTCCTTTGTGGGAGTGGCTTGCCACCCATGTGATCGGATATGAAGATGCCGACGACACTTGTCAGAACCACCTNGCATATAAATAAACTTCTATCTATCTATCTATCTATCTATCTATCTATCTATCTATCTATCTATCTATCTATCTATCTATCTATCTATCTAAAAGAAACTGCATTAGTCTTTGCATTATATGTGACCCCAAAATAGTTGTGCTTTATTAGGATGGCCTGACCTACTCTTTCTGAAGTATTTTGTAGATGGTCTTATTAAATATTTAATATTATAAAATGTCATGAACAAAGTTAGATAGACTGCTTACAGATACTGATATCTGAAGAAAAGAATCTCATTGTTATCAGAACTGTTACTATGCCTATGGCTTTTGGTGTCTAATCTGCCAAGTATTCCAACAATAGAACAATTCCTCAACTGATACAAATACTTAATTGAGGAAACTCACAGTTTGACTTCTGTACATACACTTACCAAAATTCTCCCTTTCCTAAGAATAAAAGCTACTAAATAGATTATGGCATGAAGATAACAGCAAAGCTGACAATTATGAATGGTGGTAGGATAAGCTTTCCACAAGTGAGTGTATAACTGGTAACCTGCTGTCAGAAGAGAGAAACAGAGAAATTTGCCAGTTGAGCAAGAAAGTCTCTTCAACTTGGAAGAAGTCAGGTAGTTCGCTTGAAATAAAAGTTTCAGACTTGTTGATTTAAATGATAACACTTTGCATTTCCAGCTAATTGTCTTTGCCTTCAACTTAAAAGGAACAGTTAAAAGATTGCCTGGGCGGCCATCTTCTACTTACGTTTCAAGCTCCCTGGCGATACTGACCACTCCAAGATCTTGACAGGCTTTCTGAATAATTACTGAAGGACTTAATTCCCTTAGCCGAATAAAAGTTGTGTTTGGACTATTCAGGATTTGGGCTGCACTAGAACAAAGTATTCGTCCCTTGTGATTGAGAGGAGACAAAGCCATAACAATAAAGATCGGAACACTTTTAAGTAAGTTATCCAGGAAATCCCAAGAGGCTTTATCAATATATTGAGCTTCATCAATTGCAAAAATGATGACTTCCTTTTCTGCTGCCTAAAAAAAAATCACAATAACACATACTGTGCACAGTAAGATGGTGCTATAACCAGAATTGTTGTCATCATAGCTTTTAGAATTTTTACTTCTGCTATTAAATGCTTCTACTAATGCTAAACTACACTCTAAGAATTTGTCATTTTTTGTACTTATAAGTCTATGACCAAGGTTGTTTCCATGACTTAACTAAAACTGGTGATATTGCAAGAGGTTAATAGAAAGAACTGGACCCTACTACCGATCTCAGTTGACCATCAGTGTTTTCCTGGATCTGATCTACAAAATGAATCCACTTGCATCCAGTGAAGTACATAAAATAAGAACAGATTGTTGTGAAAAGAATAAACTCACTATGTTTATCAGGTCCTAGCTTAATATTCATTCAGCAAATGTTCGAAGTCACAATGACACTGAAAAAATCTTCCTGCCCTTCTTCTCTACATGATCATTGTGTTTGTGGGTTCTTGGGGCAATAGGAATTCTATGATCATTGTACTGCAGTGGCATGCCATACTGCAGCACTTCTCACTATATTGGGGCTGTCGTCTCATGCTGCAATGCTGGGGCACCATGGCACATGGCAATAGCAGCTGTGGCTTCATATCACAGCACACTAATGGGGCTTCACACTATGCCAATGAGATTTTTCATCAAATTGGGCCAAGTGATCATACCACCACATGGTAATGGGGCTTTCACCATGGTGAGGTGACAGGGTTGCTTGCCTGGCATGGACTTGAGGTGTCACTCCTTGGTGGTAGTAGGCACTGAAGAAGACACATGTGAGTTGTGAGAGATAAAAGCTCAGAGCTTCAGCCCAGTATAACCAAAGACGGCCACTGTGCAGAGTGGCCAAAGGGGCAAAGATAGAGGAGTCGAAGAAGAGGCAGTCCCTTCACTTGGGGGAAAAAGTCTCAAGACTGCAAGTGATCAAGGTAGGGATGGCTTGGATCAGGGCAGATCTTTGCCTATCAACATGGGCTTCACTTCACAATAGCAATAAAGACTGCTAGAACTGCCATTGCTAAGGAAGCAGTCATATGGTGTCTTAGCAATGAAGTAGCTGGTCTCAATTGCGACATTAAGCAAGGATTATACTGAGAAGCTAATAATGCCTTTATCCTCTATAGACCATGTTATGCACAAGGAAAACATTTACTTACATTAATCAGAACGTTTAAAAGTATTGTTTCAATCTCCTTATTTATTCTGTCATTGTCCATTTTAGAAACCACTTCTGATGTAGGAAACTAACCAGAAAAAGAAACAAATCTCATAATTATTTGATTAATAATATTTCTGCCAGTAATACTTTTTTTATAATTCAGTAATAATCTAAACAGATTTATCACATTCATTCAGTCTCCATAAAAAGAATGTTCCATTTGTAAACTGTTTCATACTTAAACATTCTGAGTATATCTAAATCTATACAGCTTTATCAAGTGATCTGTACCCAGGGGTGGGTTTCTCGCCCCGTTCCAACCGGTTCGGTTGAAACGGGGCCGGCGGCGTCCTCGTGCACGCGCGCAGTGCATGCATGCGTAGTAGCATCTGTGCGATGCTCCAGCTGCTCCTGGAGGATCGCGCAGGCGCTGTATGCGTCCTGCGCCGTGGCACGACAAAACCGCGCTCGTCAAAATAGCGGTGATAAAATTGCGGCGCTAAAGCCGCGATGTGATCACCATGCGTCATCATCGCCGCGACAACAGCACGGCAACAGAAGGGCGCTTTAAAACGGCGCCGCGGCAGAAAGCCGATTTCAATTAAGGT